GCCATCACAGTTTTTAAGACTAAAGTCACCTGAACAAAATTTGCTGAACCATCATGAAACTTACGAATGTTCGAAACATTTCCATTTCAAAACACCTTTATGGAGTTTCCCCATATTCCTTAGATGTTTATATATTGTTTCATGAGAGACATACAATTTCAGGGCCATTTCACGAGTGTATTGCCTTGGGTTAGACTCAACAAGCATCTTCAGAGCATCAATATCAATTCCAACTTCTCGTCTTCTGCCATCACAGTTTTTAAGTCTAAAGTCACCTGAAAAAAATTTGCTGAACCATCATTGACACTTATGAACCTTCAAAACATTTCCATAAACTTCTTTGATATTCTTTGTGGCTACAACATGCTGAATGTGTGTGTGCCATCACTATAAGGGATTAAAGTATGCTAAACTTTACATTATATAGGCTACGATAACGTGACGTTTAGGCAGTTTGTTTAACTATTATACGTGTTGTATGTTTTTGGGGGGTTAATGAAAGTATTTCAAAAAGCAACATTAATTTCTTGACAACCTAATAATATAAAACTTTGAATTATAACATACTTGATAATAATAATTTCATTAAAATACATAGATATTAAAGTACTTTAATTAAATTTTGAATATAACTCATTGACATCCACAGAAAGGAGTTTAAAAATTGCATTGTTGTCATAGGGTTAAAACATAATTTGTAAAGTAACTGAAAAATTTGAGATTTACAAGTTTATGTTTAGTTAGTTCATCATCATGTGCAATCTTTCTGAGGAAGATTGGCTGTCACAATCCCCCACTTCTGTCTGTTCTGTGCTTATCTAACCAGGTCTTCATATTTTGCTATCTCAGTTCATTCTTTAATATTTGTTATCCACTCTGTTCTTGGTCTACCTCTGTATCTTTTCCTTCCTATTTGACCTTCTAGTAGGACTTGTTGGATGTTGTCTCGTTTCATCATGTGGCCAAAATATGCTACTTTTCTCTTCTTGATGATTGGTACAACATATCTTTTCACATTCACCATACTGAAAACTACTTCATTTGTTACCTTGCCCATCCAGGATATTTTCATCATCTTCTGTACACTCACATCTCAAATACTTCCAGTTTATTAATCAATGCTTGTGTCAAGGTCCGTGTTTCACAGCCATATAACAGAGTTGACCATATATATCACTTTATGATTCTCTTCCTTGGTTTTACATGTATGTTCTTTGACGTCAGACTTGTTTTCATACTCTTAAAGGCACTTCTTGCCACCAATTTACATGTTGTTATAATTTTTTTCCATATACATTATATGAGCCAAATGTTTGAACTAAAAGTTTTATGAACTTTTCTTGTGTAGCTCTACATAAGCACAAATTCACTGAATACCAAATGATACATCAACAAAGGTATATTTGCATTTGTTCTTCACTATGTTGAGCTTAATTTGGATATCAGCATGTTTGTAATTTCTGGATTGTTTTAACTGTTACATTAAGTGGAATATAACAATTTTCACTTATTTGATGTTGTATGCTAGGATATTAAGGAGTTATGTAAATGCATGCTATTTTAAAATTCAGTTTGACAACATCGTAGTAAATATAACTGACAGTTATTCCAGTGGAACTTTAGGCAGAGTAGACATAGTAAGTTTGAGAAATTTAGTGGACTGCAAATTTCTGTTGAAAGAAAAGGAGACAACATTTCGGCTTCTATACTGAGGTATTCCTCGAGTTCTCAGTGTAGAAGCCAAAATGTCATCTTTTTTTTTTCTTTCAACAGGCATTTGCAGTCCATTAAAGCTCTCAAACCTGCAAGTATAGCTATTGACTAAAGAACAAAATATGGAAACTTTCTAGCATAAAGAAAAGAAATTTGGCAATTGAAATTTTTTTTATGATTCTCATTATAGGGGGAGTATGGACTTGCTGATGCTGTTGCAGAAATCAAACTGTACAAGAACCAAGTTATAGTAAGAGATAAGTAAGTCTTAGTTTCTAAATTGAGAGTGGGCTTAGATACTGGTTAGTGTGTTAAGAGATAGTGTATTTTAATTTAGAAATATATGAAACAACTTTGAAGATGTATGTGGTGGTAATTTGTGATTGCAAAATTTCTGTTGTTTTTTGTAAATATTAACTTTCACAATGTATTAAAAACACAATAAGGATTTTTTGTGTGTATAATTTCCAGCCACATTTGATTATTTATTTATTATAGGTGGTAACAAAGTAATATACTTGTAATTTTTTTCTGAAATTAGGTAAATTTAAAAAGGTTGAAATTAATAGTTTCAAATGTATAATATATTTTGAGCATAACTTCTGACACTCTTAATTTTCTTTAAAAATACCTTTGGAATTTTATTTTTAGGTTTAACTTGGTGTTAAAAATATTCACAGGAATATATCAACACAGATTTTGTCATGGAATACTTGTCATTTCTGTTTACTGCAGAAAATTCTGATAAGATTAAGACAAAAGAATACCTTAGTACTAGCAATATACCATTTTCCCATTGATATGTGAAAGATTACTGTTCTATATTTGCACAAAATACAAAGTGAAAGGCCTTCATAAAACTTCAACCAGCACAGACTAGCAAAAAATAATCACTCTAGCTCAGATACAAGATTTTATGTATAAAAAAAAGATTGTTAATAGTAAAGTACGAAGTAAAACATGAAACATACAAAAGGTTAGTCAAATTTTTGATAAGTAAATTATACTCCTTGAAAGGATTAGTACTAAAGATTAAGAATAATATCTTACAATTTATTATAGAAAAAAATGTTCTGAATCATCATTTATTTTGATGTTGTTTGGAAGTAAGTAACTTCAGTTAAAATTTGTATGTCAATACATCAAGCATTGATGTCAGTGCTGTTGAAATGTAAAATGAAGGTAGTAAGCATGTATATATTAATACATTACATCAATAAATTAAAGAGGAAGACATTTATAATGGTCTGGAAAATTATACCTGTGTGCAATTTCAAAATTCAATATGCCATTTATAGTTATGTTTATGTGTCTCATATTCTGTTGTAAAAATGTGTGACTGTTACCCTTTATTTTGTACACTACCCATCTGGAAAGAGAGTGCCCCTTTCATCTTCAGATTTGATTACTTGTTATTTTAATGATCAGTTAAAGAGTTAGTAGAAGTTTAATCAACAAAAAGTCATGTACAGAACACCTCTAGGACTGTCATGACCATTGTGTGTATCAATGCTTAACCTCCCCACCATAAGACATCAGTGAGCCTGTTGTTATACTGACTTAGGAGCAGAACAGGGTACCCAATAATTGTATCTTCTAACTTGTCAGAAGTATGCTTCACAGATGCAGAAACTTCATTAAAGCAGTACGATTCTTGCAACTGAGTATTTCATTTTAACAAATGTGCCTCTTTCAGACAATTTGATTTAGTCAGACCCTGATTTTGACTCATAGGTTTCATGGATTATAACTTCTTTATGATATGAAAGTGAAGCATGAGCTAAATAAAGTGTATCAATGGTACTCCTAAAATATTGTCTGATTTTAACTTTTGTACATTTCGTTAAATAGTAATTTAACTATAAGATTTTGTACATTTCAAGAGTAGTGTATGATACTAAGCTAAAAACTCTCTTGTATCAAATCATATTATAATACTTTATTGACATCATGCTCAGCTGGTATGTGTCAACTTTCACCCCCATTATGTCTATAAGAAACAGCATTTGTAATAAAACAAAGTAATAAAGAATAATCACTTTTGTGTCTGCAGGTTTGCACTCAAAATTACTTCCAATAGAATATCAGGATGCAGTGATCTTGAAAATCTTTTTAACCAATCTTGTGTTACCATTTTGTTTAGGTACTATAGTCCTCCTCTGTTCTTTTGTTGGTTGTATGCCAACAAATTCTTGATAAAACTTCTTTAGCTGTAGCAGTTTGTTTTATTGATTTGACAGCTGTCTAAGCTATTTGAATAATTCATATTCACATTTTGACTGAAAAGTTTATTTGTGTTTTACAGGTTAGTTTAAAATGTTTAACCATTAAAAACATTGTATTCTCTGTGTATCATTATATCATTTATGTTTTAAAATATTCTGATTGTAAAGCCACTATGAAAGCAAAGGGAAATATATTGGTAGATGGAATTAACCCCCATCCCCCCACACACTGGTTTGTCTAGCAAAATAATTGATAAAATATTTCAGCATTTAAACAGTATAATAGAAAAAAGAAAGGAGTTTTAGCTTTTGTAAATTCATAATCTCATCCCATTTGTACATGATCAAAGATTGTTCCCATGCATATGTATTAGTATCTAGTGATTTACAGGTTGTAACTTACCTGAAACCTTAATTACAAGGTTTTGTAAGGATGTGTGTGTAATTATTGTAAATTTCTTAATTTTGATCCTTTATCATCTATAGGCAAATTGAAGACTTGATACAACAGGTAAACAAACTGGAAATCCATGCTGAGGAGCTTTTTGAGGAAAATGAAGTTGTTAGAGAAAAGTTAGGGATGGATGCTCGTCAGCCTCTTAATGTGACTAGGAACCATCAAAAGGACAGGCATTTGAATGTACTTTTACAACAAGAAGTAAGCCATTATATACTAATTATGTAGTTAACTTTATGTTCTTTTATTCGTTTTATTTAATTGTTATTTTATATCAAACTTTATGTTCTTTTATTCGTTTTATTTAATTGTTATTTTGTAACAACATAAATGGTTTTGCTGTACTATCTGTTCTGTCCTGGTACATGACTCTTTAGGTAAATAGCAACATATGTTGTAGTAATTTATCTCAGATGTCTGGTTATTGTAAAGTTACATTTTCAAAGCCAGTTAATGGACTTTCATTGGTCACAAAACATTTGTAGGAAGGATTGTGTAAAGTTTTGCATATATTCATGTTAGGTTCTTCAAAGAATATTAAATTTACTATAGTACATGAATCAAACTGCTAGTCTTTGTATTCAGTACTTTATTCTTTCTTTCATTTTACTTTCTTTATCAGTATTGGTTACAATACTTAATATATCTGCCTTTATTATTTTTAATATTTTGTTATTATATTTGTATTATCAAGGTTATTTTGCACTTTTAATTTAATATGTATGAGTTTAGCACTAACCCAGTTCTCATTAGTTGGCTGAACCTTGTGAGATACTACTGAGATTACCAAAAAAATTGATAACAGCAAGAGCACACAAAGTATAGAAACAGAACATTCTAATCTTGATAAAAAAGAATGTGAAAACAGCATATTTAATTACATATACTCATTACTAGATTAATTTTATGATATGTTTAGGTAACTTTCTTTGATCTGAAGTGTTTAATAGTCATTTAAACAGAAGTTAAATATAACCATATAATTATGGTTTAAATAATTTTTAAACAAAAATAAAATTGTAACATTTTCGTTGTGTGAGCTATGATATAAAGAGCCAAATGATGTTTTTGTAACAAAAATATTTGTTGAGCAGCATGTAAACACATTACAAAAATACATTAAAATTATAATTTCTAATTACCACATGTATCCATTAGTTACTCTTATTAAAGTTTTGCATGCTTATATCCCAACAAACATACTCTTGAAGGAGACATTTTAAAGGTTTTGTGGATTGTTATTTATAGGATTTTGTTATCATTGCAAAAAAAACAAAATTTATAGTTTAATAAATTGAAAATATTGCCTTTATAAACATTTCTTATTTCACAGTTTGTGTAAGATCCATATCTTTCATTATCTGCATGCAATAACATGTGACATTGCCATTGTTAAATTCATTTCTATTTGTTATATGTGCTCTTTTGGTCACCAGTTTGTATTTGTTTGTGATGCTGTAACCCTTAAGAAAGGTGAAATCTGAAACATCAGGTTTGAATAAATTGCTTTTTTCTGGAAAATGAGTAGTCATTTTTGTAAGCTTAGCTTCAATCCTCCAGTGTGCTCTGGAGAGCTTAAAAACTGTTACATCTTTAATTACTTTATTTTTGCTTTGTCTCTGAGTAGTATTAAGCAATATTTTATTGTTTATTGCCATGCTTCCACATGTATTAGTGACTCTGAGAAGATAATATCTTTTAACTTATCAGTTTTCTTTCCTACACTGAGTGATTAATGTGCCTAGAAGGCAATAGTTTAACAAAATAAGGAATACTTTTTTTAATTATTAAAAAAAATTATGGTTTTGTTGTGGTTTATTTTCTAGATAGAGAAACTTGAAGAAGAAAGAGTGGAACTCCAGCAAAAGCTGAGGGAATTATCAAAGCAAGTAAAAGAAAGGTAATTAATTTCCTTATGATGGGAAAGATTGCAATAAATTATATGAAAATATGCTCATTAAATGTTGCATAAGTTTAGAAAAAATTTTTATCACCATTTATAAGCTTTCATATGTAACACATGATTATACTGTATCAAAGAATAGTTTCTAATATAATAAATTAATTTTTCTTTTGATATTAAACAGTCTTTCGTGCAGTCTGAGTTGGTGGGAGATCAAGTTACCAGCAGGGATCCTACTTCAGGGTGGAGTGCAGATTTCAGATGGACATTCTGCCTCATCCACCCTTTTTACAACTAGTACACCATGTTTGTAATGTTTTCAGTATTTCTCCTGTGACTTGTGAATCTTCACCTTCTTTATTAAGAGAAACTAGTTCTTCTCATTACCTGGTACTTCCTCCTTTGTCAGATATTGCTGTGCATGCAAGGAGGTTTGCAAATCAATTGAGAGAAGATGTTGCCATGCCTTGTCCTCGTTGTTTATTGGATCAGCATGTCTTGGCTTTCTATCACCTGGAGAACCCTTATTTGGACTCTCAGATGTTAGATCCTCTACTTTGTATTTGGGGCTCTAGACAAGATGCCCCCACTGTTAATCTTAATTAATCTCAGGCTTCCAGAATTGTCTGTCACAACAGTTTTGCATTTTCTATCATATTTGTAACTATTGTCTGAGGCCCTGCTCAAATTTTGGAGGATCTTATTCATTAATTGACCACTTTGGTCAGGGTATCAGCTTCTACTCTCTCCTTGGTAGCTTGATTGGTTTGTTGCTGGGATCTTTTGGAGATGCCTTATAAGAGGGAATTAACCTTCCTGTGTCTCTCAGACAGTCTATATTCTTAATTTCCTACACTGGCTTCTCAACTGTCCCAAAGTTCTTCTACAGAATGATTTACTGCATCTCCCATTTGACTTTCCAGACCTCCTGCATCAGTGCCACGATCCACTGGAACTCAAGGGCAATTTTGACCTTACCAGTGGCGACACTACTTCACGATGGAGTGCATATTTTGGCATCAGTGACTACTTTATAGGGTCAGGTCCTATGGGGTCTTATTTAATAGGGGTTTGTGTCAGATTAGTCATTCAGTTCTCCTCCTCTTCTTTTCTTATATAGGTAAACCACCGATTTTCCAGCACCCTTGGTTCCAAAGCCTTGCTGGATTATCCATTTTGCCAGACCTCTGACCCACTAATTATACCCTTTCTGTATCTCTAAAGCACCATGGACTGCTAGAAACTTAAATAAAACAAATATTAAATGTGAATTAAATGATTAATGAAATACATTAGTACAGGTATAAATAATACAGGTTTATTAGTATGGTATAAATGAAAAAGATTTATTAATTACTGTACTAACACTATTATCAACATTCTGTGTTGTAAAAAATTGAAGAACAAATCAAAACTAAATATTTGTATCTTGTTAAACTAAATATTCTTGGCAACATTCATGAAAAAATTCAAGTGATTTGATCCACTAGTTTAATATTTATAAGAAAATTTTCACAAGAGTGACGTACCTACTTAAAATGGAAGTAGCCCTTCCCGAAAGAATGCATGCCACACACAATGCCTTTTGTGGCTGCCCAATGAACTAGTCTGGTGGTCATGGGAATTTGAAGTGCGCTCTCATAATTTTGTCTGGATTAAAGGAGGTGTCGAAAAATCATTGGTGTACTGTACTGGTTGGCTTTCCACCTTGCAAGGACACTCTTACTTCCATCTGTCGAGCACAAGCCATCCAGGATCTTCTGCATAAAGAGGCTATAGAGCATGTCACTCCTCTCTCAAGGGTTTTAATTCTTGACTGTTTGTAGAACTGAAAAGACAGGCAATCGGTGACTGGTCATTGACCTTTCTTGTCTTTATCACTTCCTCCAGCCTTCTCAGTTTACAATGGAGTAATATCTTTCCCTTTGGTGGCTCTTTTCACCCAACTATGGATGACAAAATTCGACATCACAGATGCCTATCTTTATATCCTGATTACCAAGTCTTCAAGGTGTTATCTCCATTTCAGTTATGAAAACCAGGTTTTTCAATTTCATGTTCTACCATTTGGCCTTACATCTGCTCCATACGTTATTTGCCGGATGGTCAGAGTTTTTCCACATTACTTCTACTCCCCTGGCATTTGCATTCCCCATTACATGGACGATTGGCTTCTTCTTGCCCCTTCCCATCATTTGGCAGAATTGCACACTCAAACTCTGTTATCAGAAGCTGTAAGAGCTGTTTTTTTTTATCAAAAAGGAGAAGTCTGTTCTTACTTCCACACAATTTCTCATCCATTTAGGGGGTATTTTTCAATTCCAGAATAAACTGGGCTCAACCTTCTTCTCTGTGCCTTCAGGCCATGGAATGGGAAATTCTTCAAATCCAGTTGTCTCCTTCTCCACCAGCACGCACAGTTCTATCTCTTTTGGAAATATGAGAATCCTTGGTATCACTTATTCCTGTAGATTCAGCCCACATGAGGGTCCTTCAATGGTCATTACGGGACCAGTGGAACATTTGCATAAATGTGCTGGATGGTCCAGTGAGACTGTCAGATTCCAGTTTGCTGGATCTCAGCTGGTGGTTGAACAGGGACAACACAATAGTAGGTATCCCTTAGCCACCACCATGACCAGAGATACATCTGTTCACAGATGCTTCTCTTTAGTGCTGAGATGCTTGTATAGAAAATATGGAATTCCAGGGATTTTTGACAGTAGAGGAAGCTTCTCTCCACATCAATATCTAAGAACTTTTAGCAATTCAATGAACTATGACACAGGGTCACAAATTTTTGTGAGGAAAGGTGGTACTGCTATATTTGAACAACTCCACAGTAGACTCATACATTTCAAAGCAATGGGGCACTCACTCCAGATCTCTTTGTTTTCAAACAATGGATCTTCTCTATTGCGCACACAAACACCAAATTGTTCTTCTTGCTTGTCATGTTTTAGTTTAATGAATCTAGTGTATCGACCAGTTATCTCATCCAAACAGAGCTCTACCTTCAGAATGGATACTTCATTCTCAAGTTTTGCATTGGATCTGATCTTGTCTGGGAACGCCACAGATTGATGCTTTGGACTACTCAGCTCCCATCCTTCTGGTCTCCAGTACTTTACCCTCTGACTTTGAGAGTAATTGCTCTCAGCTAGAATTGGTCGTGTCTTCATCTTTCCTCATTCCCTCCAATTCATCTACTCTCCAATGTTCTGGCACCGATTCCCTCCAGGTCCTGTCAAGTTCTTCTGGTAGCACCATATTGGTGAGTCAGCCCTGGTTTTCACTTCCCCTTCCTACCTGGCCATTTCTCTTACATAAGCCTTGGTCAGACATTTTTCTTCCGGCAGCCAACATTTTTCGACATCATGCCTGGCTTTTTTTGCATCCAACGCACAACATTGGGGATTGACGTATCGAGTGGTGTCCTTATTAACACATTCCATTCCACATCCTTCTTTGGAAGTTTATCAAAGGAAATGGTTTACTTATCATCAGTGGTCTCTCAGACGTGGATTTAACTTTTCATGTCCCATTGTGCCACATGTCTCTCAATTTTTGACATGGTTGTTTGCCAAAGGTTTGGTGCCTTCATCTGTTGCCTTGTATAAGGTTGCCTTATCAGGTACTTTTCATTTTTCTAAAAGAAGAAAAGTTTTGCACCCCTGGTTTTGTCATTACTTTTGAAATAATTTTGGATTATCCGTCCTTGTTGCACTTTCCAGGTTCCTAATTGGGATATCGCAGTGGTTTTCCATGCATTAATACATCCACCTTTTGAACCTTTGGGGTTATGTTCACTCTATCATCTTTCACTTACAACATATTTTCTTCTGTTATTGGCTAGAGGGCATCAATGTTCAGATGTGTTTGCACTTCATGTTCCAGGACACTACGTTCCAACTATGTTCTGTTGTATCCAGACAGGTCCTTTCTGCCTAAAAATGCAGCAGCTAGGGAAGGAGATAAGGCTTTCTCTCCTAGTTATCTTCCCTCCATTTTCCATTTATACAACCAATCGGATCTGGATCATTTCTTGTGCCCTGTTCAGGCTCTCCGATGTGATGTCACTAGTTATTTGTCCATTTGGATCCTTTGGTATCATGTGACTTATCCCCTGCCACTTTGACAAGTTGGATTTGTCAATTGGTTTGGATAACTTACTCTGTTCTTTCATTGAAGGAACAGAGACTTCTTAGTGTCGCATCTCATCAAGTTCAACATATATTGATGTCCCTGGCATCTCGGTTCCATCACCAGCTGGACCACACCTACCATCTTTACATCGCACTATTTACAAGATTTAGCAGTCTTCTTCTCAGATGGGTTTTTTCCCCCACCCCCCGTGGCTATACTACACACACACACACACTGGCTCGATTGTGACAGAGGTAACTTCATTCCTTTTCAGGTACCTTTCTCATCATTCTCATTTGGATTCCACTCAGTGGTAAGTGTTGCCTGGTTAGCTATTTTTACAAATCTGCACTACCTACCAGTAGACTAACATCTAAATTCCTGGTAGCAATGAGCTCTGTTGAGATGGGTTGTTCCATAAGACCACCTTGGTGCTTTCTGGTTTTTGAACAATTGTTCTATATCAAATATAATATACAATACTGGATTGCCATTCATAGACTGTCATTAGTATAGCATAAAGGGACTTTGCCTATCCGTGCTAACGCCTGATTTGAACAAATCGGGGTTGGTTTGCTTTTCAAAATAGGGAACATGGTTCTCCTAGTGCACTGTCTCTGGAGCATCGTTCCTAAGGGCTCCCCAACATGAGTCACCCCTCCCTCCACTTTTCTAGTGGAGCAAAGGAGTCCTTAACACTCTCAGTTTCCAATCACATGGAGTGGTGGACAGAGAGCTATTCCACCTAAGTGATGAGAGAGAAGAGAGTGAAGCTGGTAACCTTCCCACCCTTAACCATGGATTGTTTTCCACATGTCAGCTGGGGAGCCGCTCCAGCCTATGTGGGAGCCTCCTCATAATTCCAGTTCAGAGATGACACTCCGCTACCTGGTGGTGTGTGTGTGTGGCCCTTCTTTTTTTGGTTATTTTCTTACTTTCCGAGATCATGGAAGAGGGTCCTTGACTCCTTGTACTTCTGAGTGTGGAGCGTCACGTCCAGGGGCCATTGGTTTAACTTTATTTGTTCCACATCCACCTCATACTTCCGGAAGCAGGAGTTTTTACCTTACTTCCCAGGTTGAGGAGATACAATTTCAGTTCTTATCCCAGGCTAGATGATCTCTGTTTCTTCAGGTTGAGTGAGGTGTGAATTAGCTCCATATTTCCAAGTTGAATTTTTTGCATTCTGAGCTTCTTCAGGTTTGGGGGGGGGGAGACTTGTCCAGTTGGATGTTGCTTGTCTTCCCTTTGTAAATCCTGGGCCCATAATTCCGAGTTCGGTTTGTTGCATTTTGTGCTTCTTCGGGTTGAAGTGAGGGTTTGTCCATTTAGGTGTTGCTTGCCTTCTCTTTGTAATTCCGATGGCTCAACATGCAGCATCCTGTAACTTTCATGTTGGGTTCCCTTCATATTATATTCCTGTTATACATTTATATCATATTGTGGTCCCTGTGCCCTAGCCACAACACCTTGGATCTAGCTTTGCATCCACAAAACCTTATAATTCCAACGACAAGACGTGGAACCTCGTCTGTGTGGTTGGGGCCTTGACAGATTTAATGATAATGAACAATGTTGACTCTGTAGCTGATTGACCTTTACCACCCATGTTTAGATTTCACTTTATCTGGGCAAAGAGAATACTTGTTCCAAAAGTAGTGCAGACCCCCACTAGTGTGTTTTATTATATCTCAATTTTGCATACCTGTTTTTCTACACAGATGCTTGCTGTGTGGATCTTTTTCTCACTGGCCTCTCCACTTGGTCAGTGTGAGATTCTAGCTAAAGTGTAAGCAGAGGAAAGTTTGTTTTGGAAGTTTATATTTTCCTATACCAAAAATGTATTTCTGATAATACTTATCTCTTCTCACACTATCCCGCCCTTCTTCCCCACAGTAGCTAGTGTTCGAGTCTGATAACCATCGGGATAAAGCTAAAGTGTGAGATGAGGTATTATTGGAAATACATTTTCAGTATAAGAAAAAGTGAACCTTGGAAATTCCCTGTAAATCACTTAAAATAATGTAACTGTTCCAGCTAAAAATACATTCAATATTATTGCTTATCTGTTTCTGCAATATTGTCAAAAACTTGATTTTACATTTATTAGTCAGCTTGTAATCCTTTATGCCAATAATTGGTGGTAAACTATTTGTTCACAAGTGAAGAAGTTCATAGTAATACCTGGTATATGTTTATTTCAAGTATATTATTTCTTGCATATAAAGGGTAATACATTTCTATTTATAATTAATTACCACTGTTTTTAATTTATGATTGAAAGCTAATTTACCAAGAGGAATACCTTTTCAGCAATTTTGAGCAAATTTGTCAGAATATGGACATTTTTGGTACTTGAAAGTTTTAACATTATCATTGATGGAAGAAAAGTAAATCTATGTTAATGGTTTTAGCTTTTTTGATAATTTTTTTAAAAGTAATTGATACATTTTTTGTCACACACACAAAAAAAGTGAACCAGACATGCCAGAAACTGTCATTTGAGAAAGACTTATGCTTTCCAGTGGTATATAGGTGAACACATACACTCACAAAAATTACATGAAACATTGAATCATTGCTTCTTCTATACTAGTTCATCTAAAATTCATGAAATTTTAGAGATTAATTATATATATAAATATTTAGGTAAAATATTTAGTTATTCATGACATGTTTTAATTCATAACCTGGAGGAATAGAGTGTAAAAAAACTTAATTGAAGATACTCTTGAATCAAAAATCAAAATAATTGGTTAGAATTGCTGTATGAAAAAGAGAAGTATGTGGTTAATGTTTCAGCCAAACAGCCTTCATTGCCTGTGGTGGTTTGTTATATTCTTGTACCAGTTCATTAATTCATTGAAATTATAAGAATTCATATTATATTGGACCATATAAAGGAGAAATTATATATGAACATCTTTATTAACTTTCTACTAGTTAATAAAATATGTGTAGAATTTTTTACACAAGGCATTGTTTGATGTGGGAACAAACCATAGATCATGTATCTTAATTTTTTAATATTTTGCACAAAATGTTTTTAAAGTGTACTTTTTTGTGCTTGCAGAATAAAAATAGAACTTTGTTTTTAAATTTTATTTAAAATGATTTTGAATAAGAGCATTTAGTTACTCTTTAGCCTAATGATATAACAGTTCATTTTGAAATACAAATTTATAAATCAGAAATGGAAAATTTATTTTTTTCTTTATAAAGGAAGCCAGAAAGTTCTGAATCTGAAAAGAAAGACATACCAACTCCTCATGAAAACATTCAAAAAGAATTTGTAAGTCATGTATTTCTGTCGTGATATAAAAGACTCTTTCGTTCAGATAGTATTAATTAATTTAGTTTTGTTAGTGAATGTTTTATTATTGTTTAGTTTTGTTATAATAAGAGTTAAAAGCAGATGATTGAAGGAAGTTTTATTAATAATTTTTTTGATGTTGAGAATATCGAATGTCATGTGCAATATATTGACATTGAGAAGATAGAAGGTGGACAGACGATTAAGTAATAAAGATATAAGTAGCTTGAGATGAGTGGAAAGCAGCAAACAGATAATAGCAAAAGAGAATAAAGTTGGTGTGAAGTTAACTGCCATAGAAGTGATAGGCCTAAGGATAGACATAGGACTAACGTTTAATATGTTAGAGTGAAACTAACTGTAGAAACGAAGATAAGAAAAATAATTTTATTCCGTCAATTCTTGGTTCTAAAATAATTGAATCAGCCTGAGTGCACTTTGACAAAAGGAGCAGAGGATCTTCAAAAGAAAGGAGACCAAACGATTACAGTAACTTGTGCCACAATTGTAAGTGAATCACAGAGAATACTAGAGCGATAGAAATAGAGAAGATAGTTCGGCTTATCAAATGAAATTCTAAAGTAATTGAATAGGCCTAAGTGAATATTTGACAAGAGGAGAGAACTACATATATAGTATTTTTGATATGTCCATAATATCTATAGTGTTGAAAAATTTATTGTACATACATTAACTTTTTCTGAATAATATATATTATTTTGAAAACAAGTGAAGTGCATTTATTCATTGTTGAATTTATCGCTAACAAGCCCAGACACCTACTGTAGTAGAATCCTAAGCCCAACAACAACATAGTATATATATATATTTATACTACTAAGAAATATAACTAAAAGCCTTTCTATTTGACAATTAGCAAAATGGAAAGTTATATCTAATACTTATATTTTAAAATCCTGAAAATTTGTATTTGTATTTTTAAATACTATCAGAGTTAGAATAATATATTCTTTAATTTACTAAGTTATCTTTATTTTTCAAAGTTAGGAAAATTTATCTTGTTTTTAACACAAGACCATGGCAAACATATTAAAGGAAGACTGGCCAAGACATTCTCTATATATAGATGCCATTGTTCTTGGAACGTATATGTAAAATGTAACTCAGTCACCAAATATATCGTATTTTGTAGTTATATCATTTAACATGGTTCACAAATGATCAACATGTTTAAAAATTTAATGCTGTCTTTAAAGTACTACAGATAAGAAAATTCTAAAAGAAAGAAAGAATGAAGAATAGGCATAGAATATACATTGTTCAAATATTTATAATATACACTATTAATTAGTGATTGCTTATTGGATATAGAATATGTATACAATATGAATATGTATACAATTTCAGTATCAGTTGAAAAGTGAATGTTAGCAGTATTTTTAGTTCTAATTTAGTTGAATAAACCAAAAAGTCCATACCAGAAATTAGAATATTTCATTTTCCCTATTTTTATACCATACTATTATCTCATTTTATGATGCATACTTTTGAATTAGTGACATATAAAGTTAATGTTGAAAACAGTGGATTAGCCTGTGGTACAGTAAGCAGCAACTGGTGAATTAAGGAGAAAAAAATAGTTACTTTTTTTAATATCTAGATGCTTGTTTTGAGAGAGAAATTTTATAAGAGATTTGATTGGTTCTCTTTTTTTTTGTAGATTGAAGTGAAAGAAACAAAATTCCAAGAGTTAAAGGACTTAACTTTGAAGTTGCAGTGTGAAAACAATGAACTAAGAGCAAGAATCACTGACATTAATGAAGAAAACCAAGAATTACATCAAGGCATGAAAGAAATCCTCCAGTCAATCAAAGAGCAAAATGGTAGGCGAAAATTGTAGCAGTCTTTATTGTTTGAATAAAAGTAATTATATACATTTAAATATGATTTCATTTTAAAATTCTGCTTCTAAATTTAAACTCTCTTATACAACAACAACAACAACAAAAAAAGACTTTTGATTGTTGTAAGTACTGGGTACATTTTACACTTTGCTTTGACCAAGTACAGAGACATTCTTCAAGGGTAGTATTTCTTGGAACATGTCTAATCTAGGAGAGTGGATTGTAAAAATATAGATGAAGCTTTTAATTGTCCTTTATTTAACCTGAAATGTGTAAATAAAATACCATAATAAAATGTTTAAAAACAAGTTTTAATGATTTAACACGTAGTTGGTCAGTAGAGAGTGCAGCCCGCCATTTCCAACATTTTCGTGTGTAAAGTTATAGTTATTTTAGTTTTGTAACAATAAATACACCTAAAAAGCAAAAACAGATATTAACTTTATATGGGCTTGGTCCTTTTGTCCAACCTTGTAACCACCACTTAACTATGAAACTATAGATATTTTAATTTTTACTGTAATAAGTACATCTTCACAAACTTTGGCAAACTGTTAAAATATATTACAGGTCTTTCGCACACAGAAAATCAGAGCTAATGTTTCATTTTTGTGATATATTACTTTCTATTTTTTTCATGCTTCTCTGTGAAGTGAAGCTAAAATGAGAGCTGCTACTATGAAAAGAAGAAGTGGTATACATCTGTGAATATCATTAAAAGTTACAAATCTAGTCTTATCAGCAACACTAATATGAAATTACTATTTCTTTAATGTAGAATGTTTAATTACTTTGCACCTGTACTGTTTTTTCATTGCTAAAATGTTTTTATACCAATGTGTACCACATATTATTGTGGAGAGTAAGATATTTTTCTTTTGGGAGTGTTGCATTAGAATAGAACTCAAAATATAGTACACTATATTAGAAAAGGAAGATGTTGTAATTATAGTTTTTGATTGTATACAGAATATGCATGTCCTATGGCTTGTTTTGTGTGAGGATGCAACATTACCCCAAATTAATTGTGAGACAAATACTTACATTATTTTTTTTATTGATTATTGAATTTAATTATAACTTTGATTGTGTGATTTTTTTTCAATCCAATAGAATATTTTGTTGAAGTTTTAAACAAGAAAAGCTTAAGGATGCATTTACAAAATATATTGAAAAAAGTATGTTGAAATTTATTGTCATATCGAGATATCTTTCAAAACATTCTATCATATGCAGATATCACATAGTCACTCCTATAGTATAGGGATCATTAATATAACAGTACATTTTAAAAATTTTCCTACAGTTCTATTTTTTAATTTAAATCAATATTTAGTTGGATTTTGTAACTTTTGTGGAAATTAAATGATGGTGATGATGAAATTTCATTTTCTTTTCTGTTTATTAATTGTTGTTTTGTCAGTATTTTTCATTTGTGCTTTAGTGTTAGGTTTTTATGTCCAGTTTCTGAAGACTAAGAAAACGAGTTTTTTATAAGTCTTTAGCATTGCATTTGCTGATCTTTCTTTCTTGTACTTTGACTGCTAAATACTTACCTAGTTTCTGCTAAAATATCTTGTGCTTTCTAACCTGATATGGTTGAACAGAATAAGCTTATTCCATTCCCTTGTAACTTGCAAAATTATATTAAAATAATCAAATAGTTGAATGTGTAACAATCACAATTGAATATCCACTGTGAAAATCAAAATAGCAGTACATAACTCTGCAAACTGTTTCATATTTTTTACAACATAGTCACAAGATATTTCCATATTCAACTTGTATTTTTTATTAACAGTTTTGCTGTAGTTAGTACCACTTTTAAAGAAAGTTTATCTTCATCACAGTACGCATTTTTTTTTTCATGTGATGTTAAAAATAATTTATATCTTACACAGTACACATGTCTCTTCAAATGATGTTAGAAAAACTTTGTCTCCAACAAGGTGCAAGTTTCTTCAAGTGATTTTATAGAACTTTATCTCAAACACAGTACACATTTCTTCAAGTGAGGTTAAAGAGAAATGTTATATCCAGTACATGTTATTTCAAATTATATCGAGCAACTTTGAACACAATACACATGCTTCTTCAAATGATGCTAAAGAAACTTTATCTCGAACATTATCTCAAACACATTACATATTTCTTCAAATGGTGCTAAAGAAACTTTATCTCCAACACTGTACATGTTTCTTATATGTTAAAGAAACTTTACCTCAAATATAGTACACGTTTCTCCAAATGATGCTAAAAAAACTTCATCTCCTACAGTGTACACATTTCTTTAGATGATGCTGTGGAAACAATCTCAACATTGTACATGTTTCTTCAAGTAATGTTGAAAAAACACTATTTTGAAAACAGTACACATGTACTTCCAAATGATGTTAGAGAAGCTTTGTTTCCAACATGGTGCAAGTTTCTTCAATTGTTTTAAAAGAACTTTATCTCAAACACAGTACACAGTTCTTCAAGTGATGTTAAAGAGAAACTTTATCCAACACATTATATGTTATTTCAAATTATATCAAGCAACTTTTGTATAATTAATAATTCTCTAAATAAATGTTTCATAATTTTATTTCTTTTTCTCTGGTGTTTACAAATCTGATTAAATTTGACTTTCATAAGTAGGTAGTACTGTAATTGACTATTTCTAGTTTATTAATTTTTCTTCTTCCTAGATAGTCATATAACCTTGGATAGATTAGTCATTATATAAAACAGTAATATAGTACTTTCCAAAACTCAAAATAATAAAGCAAGGACAATAAGAAGGTTAAGCCTTCCTGAAAAACAGAACCATTTTTTTCATATTTTTTGCCCTTTTATCAGTCTTATATATCTTAGTAATTTTGAATACTCATTTATTTTTTAATGTTAATGTGCATTTATTATTTTGTTTACTTCTCATGGAAAAACAACAATCTGAATTTTTTAGTTTAAACTGTTTCACCAATCTACAATTCCTTTTTCTAGACATCACAAATTGTAATATAATAGATTAAATGTTTGTTTGGTTTCAGTGGTTCTGGTTCAAGAGACTTTTCACAAAACAATCTTCATGGGTTTTTCATCCTGGAGAAACCAGAATTCTAGATTTTTCAGTTTAAATTTTTTCACCTATTTACAATTCCTTTCTCTAGTCAACACAAATTGTAATATAATGTTATAAATTAATTGTTTTTTTTTTTTGGTGGTTCTAGTTCCAGAGATTTTTCAAAAGTAGTTTCATGGTTAATATTGTGATCAGAAGTAACTTACCTGATTTGTAAAGACTGAAAAAAATCAATTAAAACAGAAAAAAAAAGCATTTAATACTATTTCCTTCGAAAAGTTGTAATTAAACTAAGCAAAATTACTGAAATGAATTAAAAGACAAAAAGTTGTCTGTTCATTGGTAAAATATCTTAATCTGATATTTATATGAAGATATATTGTTCACTCTAAACATTTATGTTTTATATTTCCTTTAGATAGAACAGATACTGTATTGCAAAGTCCTGCACTAGAGAGACTAATCAAGGTTAGTTTTTTTAAAAACATTAATCAACTTATCACATAATGTATAGTCCTAATAGACTACCTTTGTAGCATACTTTTAAGTCTATAATTGTAATAATTGTAGAAAGTAATAGTTATGCATTTTAAGAAGTAGATTCTTCTGTTAGGTAGTAAAAAATTTTATTCTTGCTTTTGCCTAGAAAAAAAAGGATCTGTATGTGTATCACTCCATTTGTTTAATTTATCTTCTTCTATCCTAGGGACTTATAGAAACTTCAGTTAATTGTATTTAATCCTGAAAGCAAATAGGTCTATATATATATAAAACGAGTCTGTATTTTAATGTTTGTACATGTATGTTGTACCTACAATTTTTTTTAGTAAATTATACTTAGAAATAGCAAATATGTTATATATAATTGTGTTTCCTTGAGTTCATAAAGTCTTTTGTTAATAACAGTTATAAATAATTTCTATAAATTATGAATAAATAATTTTACCAGTGATGTCGTTCATTCAGCTTTCAGCACATTTAAGAACAGAATATTTTAGACAGCAATAGACTCTGAACTCACATACCCTTAGCCAATTTTGTGCAACATCCCTGTTTGCAAAGTGAAGGTTTTAGCTATGAAATAGAATCTTTTGATCAAAAAAGCCATTTTGATGAAGCTGGATTTATCTCTTGAAATTGTAAGCAAGGATTTAAAGTTGATGAGGGTTTACAAGTTAGAAATCCACAAGCTTCCAGCCACACTTTAAAATAAATGTTTTCATGAGAAAGATGGCTAAAACAGTAGGAGTTGCAACAATTCCATTAGACCAAATGCCTGTAAAGTCCCCTGATGCATCTCCATTGGACTTTTGTATATGTTTGTTCTGCTTTAAACATGGTCATAGAAGCCAATGTTCACATATAGTGTAGATTCTGTGAAAAGGTGGTCAGAATGTATTCTGATATTGACCTTTCCATTCTTTGTAGCAGCTTGTTACAATGAAAATTTAGGTGTTGGACAACAATACATAATCATGGGTATTGATGATGGAGAAAATAGTTTCAAAGACATCATGGGACTTGAAACATTGTTTTTATAAAGTGCATTTAACACTCATTGTTTGTGTGTATATTGTGATAGTTTTTATCAGTACTTGCTCTTTTTGCTATTCTCTTAGTTAAGCCATGCTGGAGCTCAAGGATAAGTCTGAGGATTTATCACACTAAAAATTGGGTTTTGATACCCGTGGTGGGCACAGTACACATATCTTATAGTGTAGCTTTGTATCAACAAACTTTTTATTAAGCCTTTTGTAATGAGCATCTGCAATTTGCAGAGGGCCATATATAAATTTCACTTATGCAACAATACATACTGTAACTGTGAGATTTCTTAACATATCTTCACAAAAAACTGGTAAGATTTTGTTAAATATTATAAGTATTTTGTACACAAAGAATGGCATTATTTTAATTGTTTCTACTAAAAATATGTTATTTATCTATAGTAGTTACTTGCACTCAAACTGTGAATAGTTGATTTTCCTTTTAAATATAAAGATACTTTTCTTCATCTTATAGTGTTCATATTTCATTTGCATAGTCTCTCAAACTTCTTAAATGAATATCAAAAGTTTTATAAGGTAAATATATATATTTTATTTTTCAGTTTCTGTACCATATCACTAACTGTAGATACTATCATCAACATACAGTACAATGAAATGTTTAAAATTAATAAGTAGAGAAAATGTACATACCTTTTAATTTGCCATAGAATGTCTTAAAATATCTTATTTTGGTTATATTTGTAATTGAAAATAGCGTTGATAGCATTCAAGTTTTGAACAACTCGACTATCAAGATCTACATATCTACATGTGCCAATGTTTCCGTTTATCAATGTTATATTTTAAGATCTGTGCAAGAACTCAGCTAACAGATGTTTCCGCATATAAAAGCTATCTTCAAGTTTTGTACACCAAAAAAACTTTTCAAATAATGACAATTCCGATATGATATCTTACCTCCGCTCACAAAATAGCTTTTTTCAATTAGTAATACCCTCTATTGGCACAATTTTCAATGCTCTGAAAAGTTGTGCTGATATAGGGTATTACTAATCGAGAAAAGCTATTTTGTGAGAGGAGGTAAGATATGTATCGGAATTGTCATTATTTGGAACACATAACTGCCTGTGATATTGTTGGCTGCCTGGTTTTCAATAGCACTTGTAGTGTTTTCTTAGCTAAATATGTTATTGTTAGAGAGACTGTTAAATTGTATTTAGGTCATACTTTTATATCTTAGTTAATTATGTATTATTTATGTTTTAAAATGCATAATTGAAAGGTTTAAACATTTTTTAAATATACATCATACTTTGCATCAGTTCTCAAAAAGCTTAAGAACTTGTGCAATGGGAAGGTAATTTTGCCAAAGTCTTGTGCATCTCTACTGAAGATACTGTAATTATGCCCTGAAGGCATTGTTGACTTGTATGGAGATGAGTAATAAAAGGTAAGGCTCAGGAAAGATAATTAAAACAGTGTTGAAAATTTGCACTGATAGAGGGTAGTACTAATCAAGAAAAGCTATTTAGTGAGAGGAGGTCGGTATCTATCAAAAATATATTTTCAGTGTAGGAAAATGCTAACCTGCATGCCAATTTCAAAATAACCATTGTTGACTCATAGTGTAAAATTAACTCTTTCTAATGATTATTTATTTGTATATGTAGTAACTACATGTAAGTTATAAAGCTCAAGCAAAGTATAGAAAGTGGGCATTGCATCTGTCAGGGGTTGACAAAATTTATTACTTAATTCTACCCCTTTTCAACTAGAGGACTTTGAAATTTATGTGTCAGTAGGGCAAGTTAATGTGCTTACTTGCCTAGACATACATCTATAGGACTGGCATTACATGAGTCAAGACAGGAAGTGCAAAAGTTGAGATTTTTCATAGCTCAAGGGTCACATGACAACACAAAACTGAAGTTTAAGTATTTTTTTAAAGGTTTCTTTTGAAATGAAGGAATTAAAACTTAGATAACAAAAACCTTGAATCATAACATACATTATAATGTTAATTTCATTCACATACATTGATAGTAAAGTTGTTCAATTAAAGTTTAAATGTAACTCGGTAACTTGTACAGAAAAGTGTTTAAAGAGGTACCTGTTGAAAAAGGGTTAACCCTTTTGCTACAGGCATCTTTTTTCTGTGCGTATCATGAGGTTTTTAATGAGTTACATTGTATATATAATTACTCTCTTATCATGGTATATGAACACATTTGGAATAAAAGCATAGTTAATAATCTAAATTTTTTAATAATATATAAGTTCTAAGTTAAAAGTGTGCATCTCATTATCTTCTTTACAGAGTTACATTCAAACTTTGATTAAACTATATTTTCATTGTATGTTACTGAACTTGTCATAAAAATATTTAATAAATCAAATTTTAATATTATGCAAAATTGAATTTCTTAATTTAAAAAGGATATATTTAAATAAGTTGTCACTCTTCACTTCTGTATATCACCTGACATTTGCTTGCTTCAGGTTGTATTCTTTGTGTTTTATTATTTCGTAATCTAAATTGAATTTTTGAGATGAATATAAATTCAGTAAAGTATTAACAGTAACTCTACCATAAATTAGGGTTAACATTATTGAGACCTTGATAGCAAAAAAGTGCAAACCTGCACATAAATACTAAATTTCTAGTTTTGTTTGTGTATAATGTTTTTTTCATTTTTGTAAAAGTAACTAAATTGTAGATATTAGAAACTTATTATGTTAGGTAAGAAACTTGAATGAAAATTTTCTCATCAAGCTACATGTGGGTTACCTAATTCAATACTTTGCTTTACCGTAACTTGAGTTACTTGCTTACTTGGTGTTTATAACTTTGTTATGGATACTTAGTAGTTAGATATGGTTCAAAGTGCAATAAAACAATAAAATTAAATAAAAACAGATGTAAACTGTTATGAGCTTTAAACTATTTAGGATAAATGATTATAATTTTCTGTTACAATCTACAGTCATTCTATAATGAAAAAAAAAGAGTAATATAGATTTATTATTATTTTTTAATGATGTTTACAAGGTTGGTAAAATGAACCGAGTCTTTATAGTGTTAAGGTAGAGAAAATAACAGAATTAATATAAAGTTTTATGAAAACAAAATTTTGGTATTATTTAGGAGGTTCTAGAGGTTATGCAAATAAAATTTCAAACTTTAAGGTGAAAAAAAGTATTGTTAATCTTAACATGAAAATTATTTTGCTCTCAGACTAGCCAGATTCTGACATCAAACCATGACTCCATAAATGCCCCCCAGAGATAAGTCTGAGAGCTCATACCATTAAAAACTGGGTTTTGATACTTGTGATGGGCAGAGCACAAATAGTTCATAGCTTTATGTTTAACAACAAAAAGACAAAGACTTCGTAAATTCATAGACAAATCTTTAGTAAAATATTTTATGCACAAAAGGCTCATAAATTTAATATACCATTCTTTTTTATAATAATTAGAATGAATTGCTAGCCGTTACCATTATTTTCAATCATAATGGATAAATTAAGTTGTGCAGCCCTGCTATTTGTTCAATATGTTTGTTTTTACCACTTGAAATGTAACATTCAGGATTGTTTTAATTCATATCCTGTTTTTGTTTCTTCATGTTTTATGCTTTGCAACCATTTGAATGAAACATAATGCTAATTCAACATTATCTTTGCAAAAACTTATTGTGAATTATATGACCATAGAAGTTTGGCAAATTTTGGTTACTAAGTATTTTTGCATAGGCTATTGAAACTAAGGAATTAAGTGGAAGTTATAATGCTACCTGGAGGCTAAAGACAGAAGTAAATCACTTAAAAGGTCGTAATGATGCACTTCAAACTGAATTAAGAAATGCCAGACGTGATTTTTCAGAGATATTAACTAACATGAGAGAAAGTAAAGAAAATGTAAGTATAGTTATATGTAAAAGCTTGATATTGATCTTTTTTCTTGAGTTAATATTATTATTTTTTGCTTTTAAACAAGTAGAATGACTTTAATAGAACAAATTATCTTTATTTTAAATTTCTGAACCATTTTTAATTTTGTGAAATCTAACAACTTTTTCTGTGCCAGGACAGAGCAAGTACCATTGTATTATTCCACAATTATCTGTTTTTAAAAATGTTTTAGGTTTGTGAAAATAGTTTATGATAATTTGTGAAGTGGATTAGTTTCCAAATCTTTGGAGGATGAATGGATTTTCAGCATTGTATATATTTATAGGGGCTGATATCATTGTAAAATTTAATTAGGTGATTAAATTTTTAGACCATGTATCATTCATGTATCTGGCTGCTGTAACAAAAAAAAGTATTTTATTCAGGATTAAAATATTTCCTGACTTGTTCCTTTAAACCTTTAATATTACTCACCACTTTAAGTAACATAAAGAAACAGTATGTACCACAGATTCTTTCAAAATACCACCAGTGAAGTAATGAAACAAACAAAATAGATTAAAATTAAATAAATTAATGAATCGATGAACTTGGTTGCTAGTGAAATGTTTTTGCAGTTGTAGTTACAGATCATATTGAAATGGGTTTTTAGCTCCTTAACTTTTTGTTCTTGGTCATTAAAGTGGAAATTGTTTATCTAAAACATAAAATAAAAACTCAAATAGTTTCAGAAACTATTTTATAATAATTATTTATTCTTATATTTTTCTAAACTTCTTACTATTTACAAAAGCTATTATTATGTAAAACATATTTTACTTTCATAATGAACTTACATCCTCAGTTATTTATGGAGTAAAGAAATTAATTTAACTTCTTTTTGTAGTAATTACCAAAAAATTCATGAATTTAGTTGCTTATGTAATTTGTGATTAAAGAATTGACCCCCTAGTGGTTCAGTGGTAAGTATGAGGGCTTGCACCACCAGAAAATGAGGTTTGAATACTTGTGGTGGGCACAGTACAGATAGCCTATTGTTTAACTTTGTGCTTAACAACAAATGAACAAACAATTAAACAACTGTATTACTTTTTTTGTATGTAAATTAGATGCAAAGATCACAAGGTCAACTTCTCTCAAGTTCAGCAGCACCACCTCAGCTGGAAACATTCCACATGATTTCAGAAGAGTTGCTGAACCCAGCTGTGAAAATTGACACTAGGTTGAGTACTCTGAACTCTCATCTCTTAAATGTTTTACACGTAAGTACTATATTTTTAATTAATGGGGTTTTGTTTCTGTATTTTTTGACATATTCAGGTTCTGAACTTCTCATCATTAGATGTGATTGTGGATTTGTATCTGTTTAAAGCAAAGGGCAAAATATCAAAAGTGCTTACCCATTAAGATTTTAAAATCATTGATTAGGATATAAATCACTTAAATTAATGATATTGTACTTGGGTTATGCAGTTAATTATAGAGCAATAATTATATTTAGATTGCAAAAATTATTATTATAATGTAAATCACTCTTGGTAGAACGCTGATAATAAACTAAGATTATTTCAGTCACAGTTTTACAGGATTTTAAAGCCAGGTAGATGATTTTTGACTAAATATCTGGACATAACTTACAGTTTCTTGTTGTATCTACATATTTCTTTAATGTTGGAACTATACCACAAAGTTGTTAATAAGTAGATTGATCATCATACATATACATGAGTTATTGTTGCACACACACACACAGATATAGATATATATATGCATTTATAAATACACACACAGTTAATACATGTTAAGAACAAAATATATATATTTTTTGCTATTGCCCTAAATTTAGTTTACAATAGAAAGAGCTTAAGAACTTGAGAATATGTTTCAGAGTTTATCAATATGGACACTTTCTCCACAGGCATATTTTTCTGCACATGTCATGAAATTTTAGTGAGTTATATTATAAACTTAATTAAACTACTTTCTTATCATGGTATACAAATAAATTTGGCATAAAAACATAGCTAATAGTATAGAAGTTTTAAGTTCTGAATTTTATATGGCAATACTTAAAAAAAAATCCTGAATTCCCCTAGTGTGAAATTTGTGACATTTTCTCTCTGGGCATCCCTCTCCTCTAATTCATTTACCACCCCTCCAAGTAGTTTGAAATTTAACATAAATTACTTATTATAATGTTGTCATTGCTCAAGCAAAGCATAATTTTTATAGCCTTCAATCTAATATGGTTACATAGTCATCAAATAGAAAATTAGACCCCTCTTGCCATGCCCACCTTTTAGATCCTCCCTTTCAGAAATTTCTAATAGTTCTCTCTGATGTTTAATAGTATATTATTTACAAACAATAGAGAGCCAAGGTTTTAATCTATTAAATGATGTATCATATTACTTTGTTTTCTGTACAGAGAATTCTCAATCATGCTTTCAGTTCAAACTTTATTCCCATGGGAAGCACATCGATGAGCTTAACTGAATTTTTAACGGCTCTTGTTGTATAGTTAGAAAACCAGAAAATTTGTAATAGTTATGGAATATTGTCTGATTTTTACATGTGATTATTCTGTGTTCTTTGGTGCATTATTTAATTAGATAAAAAAATTATTTTGTGCAGTAGTACCAATATTATAAAATTGTAGGGTTAACTGTCATTGACAGTCGAAGGCATGTGGTTTACAACTTATATGGTGCAAATATCAGTTAGACATAGTGAAAGGGCAATAAAACAATAATATTTAAGTATAAATAGATCTATACTATTATGAGTTTAAAGCGATTTAGGATAAACAAATAACAGATAAAATATAAAGTTTTACTTTAAAAAATGTTTAAAATTTATTTAGGAGGTTTTAGAGATTATGCAAATAAAATTTGAGATGAAGAATAGTAATTTTACTTTTGAAATAAAAATCACTTTTCACTCAGACTAGTAAAAAAAAGATGATATATATTCATGGACAAATCTTTAGTAAAAATACTTCCATGAGGTAAATTGAATTGACTGATTTCTTAACCATTTTGTACTTGTTATAGTTTCCATACAATAATTTTTAATACAGTATGTGAATCTTCACAGATTATGGCAGACCTTCGGTAAACATAAGTCTTTTGCACACAAAAAATCAGACTTTTTAATATGATATTATTAATCTGAAATTCATTATTAAAACTAATTCATACAGTTAGAGTAAAAATAATGACTATTTTACAATGTTGTAAATGCACGTGTATTATGTGCTTTTTCAGTTATCATGGATAACAAATGCAGTAAACATAAAATCTGTTTATTGTAAGACTAGCTGGAAACATATAAGTAATTAAGAGTAAAAGTAATTTTGTATTCAAGTACAAAATTTTATATAAAAATTGGTAGAGGCAAATACCTCTATTAACTGCAATAGTAAGGCTATTGTTATTATGTAGGTTGAGAAACCAGAAATTTAAAACATTGTTTATTTGCTCCTTCAGCAACTAAGTTTCAAGGCAAAAATTATCACTGCAGTTAAATTAGAAAACTCTGTTACTTGACACTACTATAGGGAAGATGTACATATTACAACAAAACTGAATGGATGATAGTTTATTACCACAAATGTGCATGGTCTTTAAATAGTTTCTTTAATTGAAATAAAGGTGTTTTGTTTGCATAACACAGTAATAAACTGTTTGCTAAATCAAATTAGTATCAGTAAATAATGTGATTGAGCAAACAGTTTTTAGTCAAAAGTATGAATTTGTTATTCCTGCAGTTAAACCAGATTCAAAGTATCGATGATTGAGAAATTTTTTGTGTGAAGTGAGAAAAGTTGAAATGGGTATGAAGAAAGTGTAAGAAGTAAACGAAGTCTGACTTCATGTGTGAGAAAAAAAAATGCTTTATTTGGGTGTTTTTAGTCTTATATTTACTTTCGGCATATCTTAGTACTATGTTTCATATGCATCATTTACTCAGCACTTTAGACAATTAAATACACTGATGGTAGCTATCTTGTAAAAAGTAAGAAACTCTTAATGTGTTGGATTGGTAAGTGTCAAGGTAGTGGTTTCAACATGCTCTATAAAAATATTTTCTCTTGTGGTTTAAAATTATATGGTTTGTTTAGACATTTGAAGTTTTTTAACCATTATGTTGTAGTTCATGCATAAGCTATAATAATTCTCTTTCTTAACTTAAAACATTTTTTGAAGGAGTTTAAGAAGGAACAGGAAAAAAATGAAAACATAGAAAAAGAACTTGAAAGATACTGTCGTGAATTAGCTGTTGTTCGAAGTCAACTGGGTCAGCTTTATGAAGAACATTTGAAATTGAAAAAGGAATACAATACTGAAGCTGAAAAATTTAAGAAGGATAAAGAAGATTTGCTGGAAGAAAGAGCTGTTGATAAGGTGAAGATTGAGGAATTCCAGGTGAGGTTAAGCTTTTGTTTCTGAATGAATGCTTTGATGACATTTAAAGTAGTTATTTATACATGTACATTATAAAAATGTAAAAATTAACATAATAGGTGAAATCATAGGAAATGTTGAAAATAATTTTGATGTTTTTCAAGGGTATTTTATTCTCATATTGAAACCTTAAGTTTATTTAAAAGAAAGCTAACACTCAATTGACAAGATTTTACTATGGAAGATCTTTTGTTCAATAGCTCATCACCTAATCAAAAGCTATAATACTTTTTTTATAATTCCAAATCACTTGAAATCTGTTGCTTGAAACATTATCTGTACTGAAAGCTTTTTCATTAGGTAAATTTATATTATTATTATTATCTTGGTATTCTGTAGTTATACTCACTGATAGTCTTTACAGTCACCACCTTTGAATCTGAGCAGTCTTTATTTTTAGAAATATTTCTATCTCTGAAGTCTTATGCTTGATTAAAAGAAAAATTGAAGTCCATTTTGAATCTGATAAAACTTTCTTCTGATCAATATTCCTGTCATTAAAACTTTAAACTTAATTAGAGGAAAATTAGAATAATATGTTTGTTGAATTTTGACCTCACTTTTCATGTCATCGTTTTTTTTCCCCTGACTAACTTTTTTATTTCTATGATATTTGTATGTGGATACCTTAAAATAGAAGAAAGTGGGTAAAAGTCTCAAAATTTAACTGAACAGTCTTTCTTGTAACCACAATCTCTATCTCAGAAAGTAGAAAGAGTAGTTAAAAGAAAGATGAAAGACACACCCTTTTCAAACGGTATAAACTTTCTTTTTTTGATAAATATTCTTATTTTTGAAAGCTTAAAATTTGAAGAAGGAAGGTTTTATTTTTATTCTACATATCAGCATTCTTCTATAATTACACTGGGGCCTCACTATAACATGGTTCACAGGGTCAGTATTGTGAGACTGCTTTATAACTAGCTCCTTTCAAAAGTGCCAAACCAGCTGTCAGAATAATGCAGAAATACATATAAATTGATTAAATTGGACTTTTAAGCAGATAAGCCATCTGATCTGGTGTAAACAGCCAGACTCCTAGTAACAAAATGAAGACATTCAATTCAAATAAATTTTATTTCTTCTGATAACAATAATATCATCATCATCATCATTGTCTTCAACTTGCTGGATGTCTTGAGGGTTTGGATCTGTTATACTGGCCATTATTTCATCATCTATCACAATGGATTCAATGCTTATGATCTAAACAATGCCAAGTCTGTAGTTGGAGCTAAATTAGATACTGTTGAAATCAATGCATGGCTGAATATTGACTACCAAGAAGCTACCAATTGTCCACAATTCGATTTTTGCTTTTGTGTAATTCTTCTTCAGTGAAACCTTCGATATCATCCTTGTTGTTGCTGTTGGCTTATGTCTCAAATGCAGTACTTAGGGCATGTTTCCAGCAGTTTTTGATGCAGTTGACTTTCACTTCTTGCCAGGCATAGCTGCATATGTGGATTCTATCTTTCACATTACATTTCTTTAGGCAAGTTGTCATTGTCATGTCATCCTTACTGTTCACCATTCTCTTGATCAGTTTTCTTCTGTAGTTACGTGTGAAGGTTGATATGATGCCTTATTCACCGGTATGAATTGATGTCATGTTTTTCAGTAAATAGATGCAGTTGATGTTCCAATTTTGTGTAAACAGATTCTCTGGGGGTGGGTGTGCAGGGCAGTTGTCAAGCAGCAAGATGGCCTTCTTGTTGTAGTCATTTGCACTCAAACTCTTAATAGTTCAAGTGCAAGGTGATTTTCGTTTTAAGTATAAAAATACTTTTCTTCATCTTATAGTTTCATATTTTATTTGCACAACATCTAGAATCTCCTATATGAATATCAAAAGTTTTTAAAACGTAAATGTTTATATTTCACTTTTTATTTTTTTCTACCATATCACTAACTGTAGATATTATCATCAACATACAGTGCAATGAAATGTTTAAAGTTAAGAAATAGAAAATTTACATACCTTTTAATTTTTTGTAGGAAATCTTAAAAGACCTTCTTTTGGTTATATTAATAATTTCTGGTCTTTTCCTTTTCACATATAGATATATTTTTTAATGTTTTATTTTTCTTTTCTATCCATTAACTTTTGTTTCTCATTTTGACACAAATCAATGGTGCCCTTGAGGAGTTGTTATAATATCTTCAGTAGAGATGCTCAAGTCTTTGGCAAAATTATCTTCCTCTAGTCCAAGAGGCCCGGCATGGCCAGGTGGTTAGGGCGCTCGACTCGCAATCTGCGGTTTGTGGGTTCGAATCCCCGTCACACCCAATCAATCCCTCCATTCGTTGGTAAAAGAGTAGCCCAAGCATTGGGTGGTGATGACTAGCTGCCTTCCCTCTAGTCTTACACTGCTTAATTAGGGATGGCTAGCGCAGATAGCCCTCATGTAGCTTTGTGCGAAAGTCCAAAAAACCAAACCAATCTAGTCCAAGATCTTTAGCCTGAAGAACTGATACAAAGTATAATGTATATTTAAAAAATGTTTAAATCTTTCAATTATGCATTTTAAAACATAAATAATACTTAATACCTGAATACAATTTAACTATCCCTCTAACTATAACATATTTAGCTAAGAATAAACTAAATGCTATCAGAGATTAAGCTGCCAGCAATAATACAGAAAGTTATATGTACCAGGTAATGAAAACTGCACTCCAATTTCAAAATAACTATTGTTGTCTTATAGTGTAAAATGAGCTCTTTCTAATGACTTCATACATGTATATGTAGCAACTACATGTATGTTATAAAGCTCAAGCAAAAATATCGAATGTGAGCATGGCACCTGTCAGGGGTTGACAAAACTTATTACTTGTTTCTACTCCATTCAACTAGAGGACTTCCCATTTCTTGATGGGTACACCTTTAAACACTTTTCTGCACAAGTTACTGTGTTACATTCAAAATTTAATTAAACAACTTTACTATCAATGTATGTGAATGAAATTAACATTATAATGTATGTTATGATTCAAAGTTTTCTGTTATCTAAGTTTTAATTCCTTTATTTCAAAAGAAACCTTTAAAAATACTTAAACTTCAGTTTTATGTTGTCACATGACACAAGAGATATGAAAAATCTCAACTTTCGCACTTCCTGTCTTGACTCACGTAATGCCAGTCCTATAGATGTATGTCTAGGCAAGTAAGTACATTAGTTTGCCCTGTTGACATGTAAATTTTTAAATCCAGATGTTTTGTAGGTATTGTTTCTTGTCTTCTCTGGTAACATTATGTATTACAGGGCTGTCTTGCTGCAGTTGTTGATTTGTTGGTTTTTTATCCTCCTTTGCCTATAATCTTCTTTAATTCAGGAGGAAATGATGTTGTAGCTGGATCATCTGGAGATTGTTGTTCTCTTCTTATAGTGACCTGTGAAATGCCATACCAGATCTTCAATCTTATTAACCATCTTTCCTGTTTTCAAACTGTACTGGGATGCTGGTATTTTCAGTGATTTGCTGGCAAAACCTTTTAACATGAACTTGAATAACAGGACCAGATATAGGTATACCTTTGGCTCTCTGCTGGGTGAACCACGTGTATCTGGCTTTGCCGAGACATGTTTACAGCATTTCAAGTTTTCTTTCTTGTTTGGCCACCTCCAACCATTTCAGGTGGTATGCTTCTCAACTTTTATGGAAAGATATTCTGAAAATATAAATTTCAATGAAAATTTTGGGAACCAAGATAGACCTGCATTATAGTAAAGCCTCACTGTATTCCCTAACTTCTGTCTGTCTGCTGCTTCCTGCTCATCTCATCTCACACTATTTATATTTATATTACCTAATCGTCTGTCCACCATCTATATTCTTGATGTCAGTGTATTGCACATGATGTTCATTATTCTCAACATCAACAAATTATTAACAAAACTTCCTACAATCATCTGCTTTTAACTCTTAATATAACAAAAACTATATAATAATAAAACATTCACTCACAAAACTAAATTAATCAATACTATCTGAATGAAACAGTATTTTATATCATGACAATTGGCCCTCGAAACGTGTCTAACTTATAATCCCACCACACAAGTTGTTAATCACTTGGCAAATGTGTATTTCACATTAGCCTATTGTACCTCATGAAAATGTTTTTATTATTTTCAGTTGATTTATCTGATTTAACCTAATTCCTTATTTTTACATTTTAGGTACTTTTATAGTAATAATAATAAATAAACAATGCACATGAAAAACTAGAAATATACTATTTACCTGGGTCTTCTTTGTTGCTGTCGACTGTCAAAGAAACTAAACCAGACATTTTTATCTAATAATACTATTACTCTAAATAATGTTTCATTGAATTAAATAATACACCTAGGAACACAAAATTAAACATGTAAAAAGCTGACAATTTCCTGTAACTATCATACTTTTTCTGGCTTTCAAACCATATAACAAGAGGAGTTAAAAATTGAGCTAAGCTCATCAATGTATTTCACTCTACACAAAACAATGCAATATAATGTTATTTGAAAGATTGTCTTTCTATTGGTTATAAATAATATAATATTAAACATCAGATAGAACTGTTTGCAATTTGTGGAAGAGAAGATGTGACTGGTGGGCGTGGCAAGTGGTCTTATTTTCTAGTATATGGCTCTGTAAACAAATAAATTTGAAAGCTATAAAACTTGTGCTTTGCTTAAGTTATAACTATATTATAATTAATAATTTACATTAATTTCATTACTTCTTGGAGGGGTGGTAAATAAATTAGACGAGAAGGAAGACCTAGAGAGAAATGGCACAATTCTCATACTAGAGGATATTGAGGATTTTTTTAAATATTTCCTTTTAAAACTAATAACTTAAAATTTATCTATATACTACTAAAACTCTGAGATTGTTTGTCTGTAATTAAATACAGCAAAAACGGTGCACAGTATGAGAATAGAAATATGAATGGAATATGAGAAATGAGAATAGAAACAGAATAAAACAAGTTTTGTTAAAATCGGGCCATGGGTTACCGAGTTAGTTGCCGTTTTTCGGGTCACTCTTCGAAAATTCCATTATTATAAAACTTCGTTTTCCACCTGATGAATCACTTTAAAATATCTTCTATATAACAACATATGCACAACAGAAATTAAATGATGAGATGAAAATGTGTTATAATGACACGTAGAAAGAACAACAATAAAATGGACCTACAATATTATTGACTATTTGCAAATAGTAACTATGGAGACGAGGTAATAAAATAAAAATCAAGTCGAGAACAACAACAAACTTTTATAAAGGAAAACCTCTCGCCAAGCATTGGCTATTATATTATTTCCCTGTCAATATTCCCATCTTCATTAAAAGGCATAAGATGACAAAAACAAGATCTTGAAGAATCTATCTACATACTACTAAAACTCTGAGATTGTTTGCTTGTCTGTAATTAAATACAGCAAAAACAGTGCACAATAGTGCCATATTTGTAAGAATACAGTACCCCTGAAATGAGAATAGAAATAAAATAAAACAAGTTTCGTTAAAATCGGTGCTAACTCGGTAACCCAAGTAATTTTACATCACACTACCGTTCATGCTCTGTATGAAACTTCTTACTTCACTTTTTTGAAAAATAAAATGGTCTTTCCTTTTACTCCCG